CCGGGCTCGAGGGCGAAGACCGGACAGCTCCGGAGGCCGGGCAGGAGCCGGTGTCGACCGGACAGGATCCGGAGCCGGTGGGACAGGTGTCGGCAAGATTCCCCACGGAAGAGGACCAGGAGTTGGCAGGACCCCCGGCAGAAGCGCAGTCGGCGGGACCCCCAACGGGACAGGACATAGGGTTGGCAGGACCCCCGGCAGGAGGGCAGTCGGCGGGACCCCCAACGGGACAGGACATAGGGTTGGCAGGACCCCCGGCAGGAGCGCAGTCGGTGGGACCTCCAACGGGACAGGACATAGGGTTGGCAGGACCCCCGGCAGAAGAGCAGTCTGCGGGACCCCCAACGGGACAAGACATGGAGTTGGCAGGACCCCGGCAGAAGAGTAGTCTGCTGGACCTCCAACGGGACAAAGCATGGAGTTGACAGGACCCCCGGCAGAAGAGTAGTCTGCGGGACCTCCAACGGCACAGGACCTGGAGCTGGCAGGACCCCCGGCAGAAGAGTAGTCCGCGGGACCTCCAACGGCACAGGACATGGGGTTGGCAGGACCTCCGGCAGAAGAGTAGTCTGCGGGACCTCCAACGGCACAGGACATGGAATTGGCAGGAGCCCCGGCAGAAGAGCAGTCTGCGGGACCTCCAACGGCACAGGACATGGGGTTGGCAGGACCCCCGGCAGAAGAGTAGTCTGCGGGACCTCCAACGGCACAGGACATGGAATTGGCAGGACCCCCGGCAGAAGAGCAGTCTGCGGGACCTCCAACGGCACAGGACATGGGGTTGGCAGGACCCCCGGCAGAAGAGTAGTCTGCGGGACCTCCAACGGCACAGGACATGGGGTTGGCAGGACCCCCGGCAGAAGAGCAGTCTGTGGGACCTCCAACGGCACAGGACATGGGGTTGGCAGGACCCCTGGCAGAAGAATAGTCGGTGGGACCTCCAACGAGACAGGACAAGGAGCTGGCAGGACCCCCGGCAGGAGAGTAGACGGCGGGACCTCCAAGGGGACAGGACAAAGGGTTGGCAGGACCCCCGGCAGGAGAGTAGTCGGCGGGGCCTTCAACGGCACAGGACAAAGGGTTGGCAGGACCCCCGGCAGGAGAGTAGTCGGCGGGACCTCCAACGAGACAGGACAAGGAGCTGGCAGGACTCCCGGCAGGAGAGTAGACGGCGGGACCTCCAAGGGGACAGGACAAAGGGTTGGCAGGACCCCCGGCAGGAGAGTAGTCGGCGGGGCCTCCAACGGGACAGGACAAAGGGTTGGCAGGACCCCCGGCAGGTGAGTAATCAACGGGGCCTCCAACGAGACAGGACAAAGGGTTGGCAGGACCCCCGGCAGGAGAGTAGACGGCGGGGCCTCCAACGGGACAGGACAAAGGGTTGGCAGGACCCCCGACAGAAGAGTAGTCGGCGAGGCCTCCAACGGCACAGGACAAAGGGTTGGCAGGACCCCCGGCAGGAGAGTAGTCGGCGGGGCCTCCAACGGGACAGGACAAAGGGTTGGCAGGACCCCCGGCAGGAGAGTAGTCGGCGGGACCTCCAATGGGACAGTACATGGATTGGTAGGACCCCCGGCAGAGGAGTAGTTGACGGGGCCTCCAACGGGACAGTACTTGGAGTTGGCAGGACCCCCAGCGGAACCTCCAACGGACCAGGACATTGGTTCGGGACTTGAGACGTGACTCAAGGGGGAACTCGAGAGGGGAACCAAGGGGGAACTCGAGAGGGGACTCGAGAGGAGACTCGAGAGGCGAACTAGAGAGGGGACTCCTGAGGGGACCAGAGGAGGAACCAGAGGAGGAACTAGAGGAGGGAACTCGAGAGGGGACTTGAGAGGGGAACTAGAGAGGGGTCTCGAGGAGGGACTAGTGGAGGGACTAAAGGAGGGACTAAAGGAGAGAGGAGAGACTAGAGGAGGGAACTCGAGAGGGAACTGGAGAGGGGACTCGAGAGGGAACTGGAGAGGGGACTCGAGAGGGAACTTGAGAGGGAACTGGAGATGGGTCTAGAGAAGTGACCTGAGGAGGGACTAGGGAAAGGACTAGAGAAGGGAACTCGAGAGGGGACTCGAGAGGGGAACTAGAGAGGGGACTCGAGGAGGGACTAGTGGAGGGACTAGAGAAGGGACTAAAGGAGGGACTAAAGGAGGGACTAAAGGAGTGACTAGAGGAGAGACTAGAGGAGGGAACTCGAGAGGGAACTGGAGAGGGGACTCGAGAGGGAACTTGAGAGGGAACTTGAGATGGGTCTAGAGAAGTGACCTGAGGAGGGACTAGGGAAAGGACTAGAGAAGGGAACTCGAGAGGGGACTCGAGAGGGGAACGAGAGAGGGGACTCGAGGAGGGACTAGAGGAGGGACTAAAGGAGGGGACTGGAGAGGGGACTGGAGATGGGACAAGAGATGGGACTAGAAATGGGATTAGAGATGAGACAAGGGAATTGACTAGAGGAGGGACTTGAGTAGGGACTAGAGAAGGGACTAGAGGAGGGACTTGAGATTGAACTCGAGAGGTGACTCGAGAAGAGACTAGAGAAGGAACTTGAGAGGAAACTGGAGAGGGGACTAGAGAGGGGACTAGAGAGGTGACTAAAGGGGAAACTGGAGAAGGGACTAGGGAAGTGACTAGAGGAGGTACTTGAGAAAGGACTTGAGAAAGGAATTGAGTAGGGACTAGAGAAGGGACTAGAGAAGGGACTAGGAAAGTGACCTGAGGAGGAACTAGGGAAGGGACTAGAGAAGGGACTATGGCAGCTGGGGCCGGGACTGGGTCTGGAACCATGGCTGTTGGGGCCGAGACTGGGGCCGGGACCATGGCTGCTGGGGCCAGAACTGGGGCTGAAACCATGGCTGCTGGGGTCTGTACTAGGTCTGGAACCATGGCCGGAAACATGGCTGCTGGGGCCTGTACTGGGGCTGTAACCATGGCTGCTGGGGGCTGAACTGGTTCTGGAACCCTGGCCCTTTGGGCTCGTGCTGCCAACCTGGCCTTGCGACTCCTTCCTTTAGGAGCCGTTTGGAGGCTCCGTGGACCTCCAAAGGCCAGACGACCAGCTAATGGCTCCTGGACAGTAGCAAACACTGGGTGAGAAGCAGGGGCTGACGCCAGACGGACCACACCAATGCGTGTGGTATCAAAACGGGAGTTGGGAGGCCTGGGGCTGTCAGGCAGGGGATAACACACCGTGAGAAAATCCATCGTAATCCGGCGTGCCTCTGCCAGAACAGCCTCTCGCTGCTGAACCCTGGACGCTCCCAACCATCGATACGAGCAGTCATCCAAAGCAAAGGAAAACTCCAATTGCTCCTGCTCAAAAGGATCTGCTGGGCCCATATTTATGGTCGGGTTGTAATGTTACGGTGTGCAGGAAGCAGGACCCAAATGCAGATTTAAGTGACAAAATAATTCCTTTATTTCAAGGCTACAAATCTCCAGACAGAACAGAACACTCACCGCAGTTTACTCACAACACAAGACAACCCGACAAAGAGAGACAGAAAACCCAGAACTTAAATACACCCAGGACTAATCACATAAACACGAGACAGGTAAGGAGGGAGGAGAAAACACAGAGGTACCAGGTGAACACAATCGGGGAGGGAAACAGACAGAAAGCAAACAGGCAGGAAACGGGGGTGAACACTTTACAAAATAAAACAGGAAACCCAAAGATAGAAAAAGACAAGAAAAACACCAACACAGACAGATCCTAACAGGATGTAGTTCTATTCGTGAAGTGTGTCTATGCTGTATTGTAGTGGATGAGTGTGTTAAGTGACAAGAGAGACTGTGTAGTGTTTTTGAGCTTGGTGGTTTCCCTATGTGTGAGTTGTGCCTGTTTCCCTCCTTCACTCGATTTCACAGTCAGATTTTTATATAAATACAGTATTCATAGTTTAGGGGCCCTAACCTGTCTCACATGGACGTTGTCCCCTCCTTGTTTGGTCTGTGGATGGTGGTTCTGGTGTCTCTCAGGTGACTGTTGTTTCAGGTTAGGGTGTTCTTATGTGTGAGCAACTCAAGCAGAGGTCTAGATGGTAAAACGTAGGCCCTTCAGGTAGAGGGAAAGGCTTTGTTAAAGTTAAAAAGACATTGGTAAAAAAGTGAAAGAATAAATATACTAATAAAGGACTGGCTTATCTAAAGCCAGTTGAGTAGCACTTGAAATGTTTGGCTCTATGAAACCTGATGTACTTATATGATTCTGTTTTCTTCAAGGTTGTGTCTTCCTGGTCGAATGTACTTATCGTAAGTCACTTTGGATAAAAGCGTCAGCTAAATGCAATGTAATGTAATAATAATTTTTATAAACTGAAAATCCCCGACGTTTCATAAAATGTGCTGTTTTTTCAGAAAGAAAGGTGTGATGGTACCGGGTTTTTTCTATGTTTTTTGTATACACTGGGGTAAAGGTTTTGGGGTTAGTTTTAGGGTTGGATACCGTATTGGAATGAATATAAGTTGGGAAACTCCTCATGAGGAAATTCATTACCATATCACCTTGCTATTAGTCAAGAATAATGGTTATAGTTACCCATTATTAAATTAAGTTATTATTTTTGGGAGCTATGAGATGGATTTTGCGAGAGCTTTTTCTGTCTTCTTTTACAAAAAAAGCACTACAGTTGCGTTTCTGTTTGCTGGTTTAGGAAAAAAGGAATTGCAAATGTAATCAAGTAAAAAATATACTTAAATTAAGAAAAAAGTTTAAAAAAAAATACAACTAGTAATATTATTAAAATAGTTATTATAATAAAGTAAAATGATCAAGAAATATAAAATAAGAATGATTTTGGAGACCGGCTTTTTCAGACAAAACATCCGTTTGTAGTAGTTGTAATTATTGTATTGCCTATTTGTAAGACATGTAAGAGACTTGTGATGTTTCATCTGTCAAATGATAAGACAATGTGACGAAGGCACTAGTCCCGCCCTAACTGTCTGCTGATTGGGTTGACAAAAACGTTTCTGCGATCGGATTGGCTTCCAATAACAACACAGTTCCGCAAATCCAGTCTGTTTTTGTTTTGACACCGTTATTGTAAAGAGCTCTTCACACAAGTCCATAAGAAAGGACACAGTCGTCATTCTACACTACGGTTCGTAACTATATCTACTTGAAAATACAGTCTTACATTACTCGACACATGCATGTTCTCTTGTAAGGCTCCGGTTGTGTCGTTTTATCACTACACGAGAGTTTCTTAAGCTAATGCTAATGCTAGCTAAGTTAGCTGCAGGGTCCTTATCAGACGACATAACTCTACCGTTAGACAATAGCCATAATGAGTCGACTTGACAGTTGGCAAGCTTTGCAGGTATTAGCCTTTTCTTTGCACGTGTGTGAGGCATACATTCAATGAAAACATGCTTACTATAATATAGGTTAAGATAGCTAAGTATGGCAGGGTATACAAGAGAAGCCATATGTCGTATATCTTAGCTCTTTATTTTAAAGTATGCTCACTCAAGTAAAGACACAGTATAGGATGAGACAACAACATAACATATGCTTCTTATTCTCGCGGCACTTGATGTTGAAATCCTCAATATGATAATGGTGGGACTAATTTTTCTGTAACATTAATGGTGTTAAAGCATCACTATCAACATCCCTCTCCTCTGTCATCATCCTGTTGGACCTGTCTGCTGCATTCGACACGGTGAATCATCAGATCCTCCTTCGCACTCTCCAAAAACTTGGAGTTTCAGGCTCTGCACTTTCCCTCCTCACCTCATACCTCAAAGACCGTACCTACAGGGTGACTTGGAGAGGGTCTGAGTCCGACCCTTGTCAATTAACTACAGGGGTCCCTCAGGGCTCTGTTCTTGGTCCCCTCCTCTTCTCCCTGTACACAAACTCGCTCGGATCAGTCATTAGCCCGCATGGTTTTTCATACCACTGCTACGCTGACGACACCCAATTAATTCTGTCCTTTCCCCGCTCAGAGACCCAGGTCGTCGCACGCATCTCTGCTTGTCTAGCTGACATCTCTCAGTGGATGTCTGCTCATCACCTCAAACTCAACCTTGACAAGACTGAACTGCTCTTCCTTCCGGGAAAAGATTGTCCCACTCTTGACCTAACAATCAACATCGGCACCTCAGTTGTTTCCCCGACTCAGACTGCAAGGAATCTGGGTGTGACCCTAGATAACAACCTGTCCTTCACTGCAAACATCGCTGCTACAACCCGCTGCTGCAGATACACGCTTTACAACATCAGGAAGATACGTCCCCAGCTGACACAGAAAGCGACTCAGGTTCTGGTCCAGGCTCTCGTCATCTCACGCCTAGACTACTGCAACTCCCTCCTGGCTGGTCTACCTGCATGTGCCATCCGACCTCTGCAGCTCATCCAGAATGCAGCGGCTCGTCTGGTCTTCAACCTTCCTAAATGTTCCCACACCACTCCGCTCCTCCGCTCCCTTCACTGGCTTCCGGTAACTGCTAGAATCCACTTCAAGACACTGGTACCTGCTTACCATGCTGCGAATGGATCTGGCCCTTCCTACATCCAGGACATGGTTAAACCGTACACCCCAGCGCGTGCACTACGCTCTGCATCAGCCAAACGACTCGCTGCGCCCTCGCTGCGAGGGGGACCCAAGTTCCCAACGGCGAAAACACGTGGGTTTGCTGTCCTGGCTCCAAGATGGTGGAATGAGCTCCCCATTGACATCAGGACAGCAGATAGCTTGCACATCTTCCGGCGCAAACTGAAAACTCATCTCTTTCGACTCCACTTCGAGCGTTAGAACGATTAACGAAGCACTTTTATACTAATAAAGGACTGGATTACCTAAAGCCAGTTGAGTAGCACTTGAAATGTTTGGCTCTATGAAACCTGATGTACTTATATGATTCTGTTTTCTTCAAGGTTGTGTCTTCCTGGTCGAATGTACTTATTGTAAGTCGCTTTGGACAAAAGCGTCAGCTAAATGTAATGTAATAATATGTATTTTTCTTAAAGTCAGTGCAGTGCAGTGCGCTTCTGAAACTATTAATGGATTAGATGGTCAACAGTACATTGCTTGACAAGTTTAATTCATTAAATGTTAAAGTAATTTATCAGCAAACATGTGAACATCCTCTGGTTCCAGCTGTTGAATCGCTTGCTTTTCTTAGATCACTAACATGGAACATCTTTTGACTAAAGCAAAGACTTTGAAGATACTTCATTGAAATGTATGACATTTTGCTGGGGATTCTTTTTGTCTAAACAAATATTTAAAAAAATTCAAATGTAAGAATCTGAGATGTAGAGTCAGGCAAAAATGACTTCTACCTGTCTTTCACATGTTCTTCTATTTGCATGATACAGGGAAACATTCGGTGCTCTACAAGTTAGTTCCAGGGCAAATAAATGATTTGTTTTATTTCTATGCTGCTGTCATAATAATATGTGATTTTTGTACCTTTTCAGGTTAAAACATACGGGTGACGAAATGGCATCGGACTCCCCATGCCGACCTAGTCGCTGTGCTGGAGGGGTTCTGGTGCGGGCACAAGCTGCTACGTAAGGACAGACATCAGCAATATTTATTTTATTAGAAATCCGTAATGTGATTCTGTCTTTCCATCCGTCTGTCTGTTTCCCCTTAAAAAAAATCATGTTCCTGGGCTCCAAGCACAAGTCAAACTCTGCTTGAAGAAGTTTGATGTTGCATATTTTCACGTCATCTTTAAGATATGTTTTTAAATTGCACCACTTTAAATGTTTCCCCAAATGATATTTACTTTTTTCAATATAATTTAAATCCACTACATTAAGTATCTACATGCAGATAAATACATCTATACAGCTTTAGAAAATTGACATTTTGCTGGGCTGTCAATCTAAACGGGCTGTTTTCTGTTACAGGGAGCAGTCTTACATGGAAAGTGTGGTGACCTTCCTGCAGGATGTGGTACCCCAGGTAACTTTTTGTCGGCTGTTTTCAAGTTTTTTTTTAATCCCAATTCCCCAGCACTGTCTGATTTCAATTGGTACAGCTCGTCTTGAGTATGTTGATATGGTTGTACTAGAAACATGACAAAATGAAGTATTCTCAACAAAGTCAGTATGCATACTGAGAAACACTTCTAGTCTGCTGTTTGTGAACACTTTTGTCCCAAAGTTCGAGCAATGGTGCTAGAAAACTCACTCTTAAAATGTATTATTACAAACATGATAGACAATAAAAAAACGCACGTCTAGAGTAAAGAGTGTAAACATATAAATTCATTTGAAAGTATAGTTCAGTAAAGTTTAAGTTAAGATCATCACAACAATATTTTTTTATGAAAGACAGGTTATGGGAATTGAGTTTGTTACCTTACCTGAATGAGTGTGATTTAAAACAGCAATATAAGAACCGATGCATACCTGAGCTTGCAGGAAAAATACATAAATATATTTACCCTTTGGTTGTCTCAAGATTCTACCTGTGGTGTTGTATTCATTTTGTTAATTTATACAATTTATACTTTTTTCTGGTAAACTAAATTGAGTAATATCATTTGGATTATTAATGTTTGGAATATTTGTCACACTGACCTGTTATCTTATCTGTCTTCCAAACTACAGGCATACACTGGAGCTCCGCCCACTGATGAAAAAGAGAAAATCATTTGGGTTCGATTTGAGAAAGCTGACATCAACGGTAAGTTTGTAACTCTCTGACAACATCAAGTTAGTTTAGTTTAGTATTTTAAAAAAAAGAGAGTTCTAACAGCATGGTGTTCTTTATTTAAAGTTACTGCAGGGAATCTTAAACTGGTTAGGAAACAGTTGCAATGTCATTTCTTTATTTTGTTCTACTGTAGTATTTGCTTTTGCAAACATAACATGATCCAAAACACCCCAAAGCCTTTTTGTTTTGAAAGAGTTTGGTGCTGACAGCAACTCAAAGCGACCCGTCCATGTTTCCTGGGAACTAAAAGGGATGCACTAAAATCTATAAACCATATTATTTTCATGTCGACGCCACTTGCTCATCAGAAGAGAAACACGTTCACAGGCCCTCACACACACATCAGGAGCAATTTGGGGTTCACTATCTTGCCCAAGACATTGAGGTAGCATCTGGGGAGATGACTCCTTATCATGTCTGTCTACACACCAAATCAAACATCAAAGCGTTACATTTTATGGGTAAACAAGGCATTAACTGTCATACCCTCTGCTGCTCTTAATCATCAAAACTCATCATATAGAAAAGGAAAAGAAAGGACGTGGGAAAGGACAGGGCTGTAAAGGTCAGTGTTGGGTGTCACGCGTTACAAAAGTAACGGAGTTACAGTAATGTATAACTTTTTGCTGTAACAAAGTAATGTAAAGCACTACTAATGACATTTGGGTAATATATTATTAATATATTACCCGTTACAATTCTCATTAACGCAGTTACAACTCATTTTAACCCGAAATGAAATGGTGTTTTGTTTTTTAAGAATTGACCAACATCGCGAGACATTCCTGACACCAGAGAAATTGTGCGGGTAGATTAGTAAGCCTGGTGTTTACCCTTCAGGCTCATCAAGATCCCTCCACTTCGCCTCGGGTTCCCTGATCCGCCTGTCGGGGTTCTTTTCCCCATAATGACGCCTCGCTGCACATTATCCCGCTTATTACACGGCCATATACTAAACAATCTACAGAGCCCATTCCGTGTCCTGTTAGTGTTTACTTCCTCTCTGCCTTCTTCTGGTGATTTATCTGACATCCAGCGCTCCGTCTTTTAACCTCTTTTCCTTTCTCTTTCTTGATCCTCCTTAGCAACCTTCATTATAGTCCTTGACAGCGGTCTGTACTGCTGTATTAACAACGTGTCACATGTTAAGAATTTACAATCAGAATCGAGTATTCAACTAAGCCTTGTAATACAAGTTGTTAGTAGCCTTAAGGGCATACACAGTTGTTATGCTATACCACATCGCCCTTCACTGGATGTAGAATGAGCTGCACTAAACTACATTTTAGCATTTCAAATACCTAGCCATTCTTTTGCGGTTATTTTGGTGAAAGTAACTCAAAAGTAATATACAAGTAGCTTAACTCATTACATTTCAGGGACAGTAATATTGTAATGTAACTTATAACTTAAAGGTCCCATGTCATGGCCATTTCTACTGATCATAATTCCATTGTTGAGGTCTACTAGAATAGATTTACATTGTTCAATGTTCCAAACTCACATTGGTTTCTCAAACAGCATCTCTGTATAGTATGTGTATTCACTCTCTGTCCTGAACGGCTTGTTGGAGCTCCTGCCCCCCCCACACACACACACACACACACACACACACACACACACACACAGACTCACAGCCTCGCCGCGTCTCGCCGTCTCAGGGAGGAGAAATCGACGGAGCTGCAGCTGAGAAAAGATTATGTTCGGCTCCGCGGACGTAACATAACGGCTCCACAGATTGGTCCATTTGGGTATGGGCACGTCACTGTACCCAGGAAGAAAACAATGGAAAAAGAGAAATGTCCAACGAGGCGTTCTGGGGCAGCATAGACAGGTATTTTCTGTCTTAGAGTTTTACTCGCTACAGGGTGTACTTTGAGGGTTTGTGACTCTGCAGACCGTTTACATGCAGAAAAACCTTCATAAAACACAAGGGGACGGGTGATAACTGGAAAAGCATGACATGGGACCTTTTAAAAAAGACAGTAATATGTACTGTATTACATTTTTGGAAGTAACTTGCCCAACACTGGTAACGGTTAATAGGCTTACAGATGATTGGAGCTGGACAGTTGGAGGGCTGCAGACTGGGGTGCAAAGCGTTGTGGAGTAACAGAAGGGAAGTCAGTCAGGCCTCTAGATTTCAAATGTACTTATACACTACATGTGATTGTGCAATAATAGCTGTGATGATCCAACCACGTTCTGCCTGTCTTTCATGGGTAGCTTTTGAATGCATTCCATTTCTAAGTTCTTATGGTATACAGAAATGAGTATTTTACTGCCACAGATATACTGTATTAGGTGCTGCTCAACAAGGTTCAGACTCAGACTGTTACTTCTCTGCTTTCTTCTCTTATATGGTCCTGATTTAATGCTCTATGTGGTGTCTTCTAATAAGAAGGGTGAGGGTCAGGTACTACGTTTCTTTCAAACCTCTACTCTACTGCTCCAGTAGTGCTGTATGTCCTTTGAGAGGGACTTGGTCTGAAGAGTTATGCAGGCATCGTGGTGGAACTTGGTCATCAGACTCAAGTGAAACTCCATAGTCACTCAGGTTTCCGTAAAGATGAAGGCTGCTTCTTTCCCTTCGCGGTGATGATGGAGTTTTATCACAGTGTGGAAGCGAGCTGCTCCATGTGTGCCACCCGTCTTCAGGCGCCGGTGCTTGGAGCCCACCCATCTACGATCCCAGCCTTTTTTTTCCTTTCCCGACTGCACAACTATGATGTTTTCTGACAGCATCTTGCACAGTTGGGATCCAATTGTTGTAACCAAATCTGCCATCAGTCAAAAAATACACGCCTGTCAGAGAACTCAAAATGGCACCTGGGTTAATTGCTTTTACAGTAGGTTGCTCAAGGAACACATTTTGCCATGATAACACACAATAAGACTTACAGTGTGCAAACAATACGAACGTCACTCGCACACTGAAGATAATTAAAACATAACTTTTTTAAATATTAAACCATTTGTTTGTTTATTATAGTACTGGATGATTCAAGCATCTGCTAATTACACCTTTCTTTCTGCACAGACACCGCCCGCAATCCAGAGTTCATGGAGATGCACAGTGGAACTACTGACCCTCCTCTTTGCCTCATGATTGGCTACACTGACGGGATGCAGCTCTGGAGCGTATCTGTAAGTCACTCACCTCATTTGCCTGTAATGCTTCAACCTTTTACATTTTCAAACAGGAGTCTTTGTGCCATAACGTTTCATTTCAAGCAGAAATTCAGATGGATATGTGTAACAGTCAGTCATTTGGCTTTCTATATAGCGATATTTTGCCATAGCTATATTGTACCCTACTAAAAAGGTGATAACGATTTTAAAAGTGAATGCAAAGTCACTATGACAAAAACAGTAGATATAGTTCCAGAAATAGTTTTCATTGTGCCATCAATAAAATATGTGAAAAACAGGCCTGTTTAGGACTGGTGAAGCTTAACTCTACTCCTCTTCAATGTTAGCAAACTGAAAAACTAACCAATGAAGATGCTCAACAACTTTTTTTACTTTATGTCTCAAGAGACAGTCTTTAAAATTGATTGGGTAATGGAACATTGTGTATACATAATGTCCATACTGAGGTCAGTCAAACCCAAGTCAAATGATATCCACTGTCCGGACACGTAGCTTAAGAAAAAAGCAAACAGGAAAATATGTACTTCTTTGTGTAGTGGAATGAATCAGTCAGAACAACCCTACTAACTGATCTACACATTTGGCTACTCTGATTTACTGGATGTCACCTGCCATTGATCAAGTTTATTATTATTTTTATCCCACATATATATATAGGATGTGTGCTACTGTATAAGTTAACCATGTCACTAGTTTTACACATGACAAATATTAACTTTCCATGCTGTAGTCAAAGCATTTTCTTAAGATGCTCTCAAATGAAACACAAACCCAAAGGCTAAAGCTAAACAATGAAACATGCTGATAAGGGGTATCTAGAACAAATTAAATAGTTGTTTTTATCATTTCATATTAACCAGTTATCAATGCTTGGTTTGGCTCTTTTCCCTGTTTAAATTCAACACTGTGTTGTAGTACATACCTTGTCCACTAGGTAGCGACGTTGACCATGTAACAGACGGTATTTGGTTCCAACAGTAGCACTAGCTTCTACTCAGAGCTGCACAATGTGCCAAGAGCTAAAGGTTGTAGAGAAAACAAACGATGAGTAAAGATGCACATAATGAAGATTTGGCGTGTAGTGGGCAGCGATTGATAGGTCATACATCTATCACTGGCAGCCAGATGCAGCCAATCAAAACGTTTATTTTTAGTTCAGCTTAATGGGAATTAAAAATAAATAAGTGAGTCTGACGTTTTAGCAACTCTCTCTCTCTCTTTATATATATATATATATATATATATATATATATACTGTACATATATAGTGTAACCAAATCAACACATTAAATTAACGCAAATCAAGGCATAGAAAAGTATTTAATGTTTATGTTATTCATCAATGTACCAATGTTACTAAGTAGCTGCATGTTAAATAATACTATGTAGACAAAAAGAAAACATTTCTGTGACACAGTTAAATGAGTATATCAGGAAAATGGTCGTGAATCATTGTTGTAAAGATGAATAATAACTGCTCATTCAAGTGATGCTTGTTACGGAGAAGGACTCGGGTCAGAGATAATCAGGACAAATTGGGGGATGACCTCGCCATTGTGTATCTGAGCGCCCCATGGGTTGGAATATAGATAGTTCTCATCTTGTCCGAGGACAAATATAAACTACCTCTGAAGTGTATATCAAAAATGCTACCCAATAAACACAACAAGAAAGGTAGTCATAAGACCAGAGAAGGGTCGAGTGTGTCAATTTATCAACGGGGAATAATTGCTCTGGGAAATGTCCGTCCCCTGCCTTGAGCAACACAGCTGAATAGTCTTTGTGAAACTCAAGAAGCGGTGCCAGGAGCACACCACGCTGCACTGTAGTACTTCCTAACATACTGTAAGTGTTCTGTTTGGTTACTATTTATTTTTGGGAGTTGCATTTTTATATATATTTGTTATTCAAGAAGGTTATCGTGACTCAGAAAATGAAGTTCTTTGAAGTCAGTCTTGGGAAATCATCAGAAGATTCTCTGCTCTGTGACTTAATAAAGTTACGCACACACCGAGTTTGGCCTGGCATATAGAAATGCAAACTCTACATATATCCTTTCAACAACATAGTCCCTTATCAGTGTAACCTTAACCGCGTGATCATCCAGTCTGTGTGTAAAAGGACACACTGTTACTTTACCTTTGAACATACACTTTGACGTGAGCTCCTGTGTTACTCACTCTCACTGTGTTGTTAGGGTGGTGCATGAATGAGTGGCATTTTAGATCTTCTCATTTCCCAAGTCAAGAAGTCAATGGTTTTTGTAACAGGTTTTTTCTTAGAAGCCTGAAATAAATTAGCACCAGCTTATGACATTTTTACATTTAGTTTCTGAGGAATTTCTGAAGCCTTTACGTGTCTTTGAAACTGCGGTTGATAACAAGTGGCTGAATGAAACTATTAAATGTCATCGAGCCGAACGCAAGTCCGCCTTTAGCTTAGCGGTGTTGACGTGTAGTTTGTTTCTGGAAATACGCTAGCTTTTTTCACTTTTGCATTTACGCTTTTATAAAAGTGGTGGTAATTTTTGGAGATGATCCCGCTGAACAAAAGCTTTGAGTGTCAGAAGTTGCCACAGATTTACATTTCTGCAATTTTCTCAGATCCAATGAAACAAACGTTTTGCTTGTTGTCGAGGAATCCCCTGCAAAGCTAACTTTCAGGTCGGCCTTCACAATGACGTCATCCTTGCACAGCTCTATATTGGTCGAGCAAAGGATTACAGCTGTTTTAGCCACACTACTCACACCCAGTGAACATATAAGCTCTTCTGCCTTTCACTTTAATTAGAATACCAATTCTGATTCACACAGTGCAGCAAAGCATGTTATCACACGCTGTCTTCCGTCATTGTTTTTCTTTCAGTTTTGAAAGTTTATGGGATGTTCCTAGGTTGTGTTTTTTTGCAGGGTTTTAAGTAAGCACTGAAGGTGCCTCGGTCTCTAGCTCTTGAGTGGTTGTGAAGTGTTTGTGACATCTGCTAAACCAACACCCTCTGTAATGGCCTGGCAGGCTATGAACATACACGTGTACACACACTTTCACACACTTGTGAGAGAGCGACTTCAGACTAGTTGTATGGATGTTGACAGAGCTGTTAAGGCGATGAAGATTACTGCCGCCTAACACTAAAGAGGTGTCATCCAGATACTGATAAAAGGCAGACTGTGGTGGACTAGTTGTCTGTCTGCATACGTGTTGAGATAATATACCTGCTTGGAAGAAAAAGTGTCCGCAGTTTTTGTAATACAGCTTTTGCTAGCAATGCATTCATGCGATCACCTGTTACCTCCGAACTAAGTTCTTCACTCTTTTCTTCAGGAACACAACTATTTAAAAAGATTCACAGAACCTCATAACAAAATGGGTAATTTCAGGGAACTATACGCCAACAGATTGCTATCTTTATTTTCTTGAAGGATTGTAAAAATGCTGGGATTCTGATGTTATAATGGGAAGTAACTCACGGCTAAGACTTTCTCACAGTGATGAAATCAGCATTTAAATATTTTCCTAAATTATACCTTCCATTTGTTTGTTACTCATACTTGCCTTACATATTTTCTTTAGTTACACACAGCTTGGCTTTTTCAGAATGTTGTGGTGAGAACAGTTTGACAGAAAAGAAGGAATAATTGACGTTGGTTATGAAATTCTGAAAAGTATTTCAAATCTGCATCTTGCCCTCATCGGCGGGACAGTATTTTTAAATTTTGCAACAGTTACAGTGTTACATTAAAACCCAATTTAAATGTAATGATAAATAATACTGATTGGACCTGTAACCCACTTTCCTTTTAATTCAATTTATTTCCAGATCTTAGTTAAGTTCTGTGAACAGTTAATTATAACAATTGACCAATCCAACATACCTAATTCCAAATCACATGGAGGACACAACATTGCCTGACATGTAATTGAGCTGACCTTTTAATCCGAAGCGACGTCCATATACTTTTAGAACCATGCTTACAGTAGCAATTTGTTGGTGCCCAAGAAAACGTTAACATTTTGACTGCAGGGGATTGGATTGAACCATCAAGCCTCTGATTGGTAGACGCTTATTCACCCCTATATGTAACTATTGCCTCAAATATGCAAACATGGCCACATTAGCTATATTTAGACAACTAGCAAATCATTTGACAATATATAAAGAGACAAGTTGCAACATCCTCACGTCGCTTCATCTGTACCTTTTATCAGGTCAGCTGACAGTGTGTGCGATCCTGAGATGCGCCACATACAAAGTAACATCTAGTTATTTTTTGAAGCAACATTATAAGTTGTGTTGCATCGTTCTAGCTTCATGTACTCTTAACGTTTTATTAAAGCCCATAAACGAGCACCTGTTACCGTCCGATCCCCGAAGCACCTGCTGCCTCCAGACCTCCAATATGTTCAGCACTGTGTCAGTGAGCACACTCACTTGTGAATATGCCCTAGATATCTGTTCACAGCTTATGGTATTACATTAGAGAGATTAAAACAGAAGAGCAGACACTGTTTCCACAAAAACATCCAAGCCACAAATGAAATGAATATAATGAATAACCGTGGGCAGGGAAAACAACTTTGAAAAAGCAATTTGGCATATTGCATACACCGTGCCACTAATGTAATGGTGGGAATGTTGTTGATGGCAGTGGATGTCACACAGAGCCATGTAAGGCGAGGATGAGCAGTGGGGTAATACACAATAACCCGGCGCATTAACCTCTGGCCCTCCCCTCTTCCTTTTTTTAATCCAGCAAATGCCATTATTCTCCCTCCCAGATCCATTTGCCTTTACAGCAATCCTCCCCTTCTGCCAACCACCTTTTATTCCTGCTATCAGTGCTGGTAAAACCTGCCCGTGTCTCCAGTGTTAATCTACCACTACTGGGTTTCAAGCACTTTGAATAAAAACACAGCTGCAAATCCGCCACTTTGGAAAGGCTACTAATTGCACAAAAGAGCGATCATCCCCTCGGATGGGCTAAAGTAACAACTAGATTAAAGCACAAGTAAAGTGATAATGCATGTTTCGCTGTAATTTAACGCATAAAAGAATAACAGTAAGTGGGACATTCTGCGCTCAAACAATGTGCCAGTACACACGCTAGACACTGACCTCATCTGCGCCATCGCGTATGAACACATGAAGCTTAAACCAGATTTGGCAGACACAAGCAGACATCCATTTAAATGCACATCCATTTAAATGATTTAAACAGAAATGTTTTAAAATCCTCTTTAATATGACAACCTTTAGTGTTTATCCTTAAATGTCTATAATAAGCTTGTGCACATGTGCTGGAATGCACTTGTTACACTTGATCGGTATAGTGGGTTGATGAAGAGAAGTTATAGAAGGAAAAAAATACTCAAAGCACTTGCGTTGATCATTAACTGTAAAACCATTAACACTTGAACAAACAGCTTTTGTGTTTTATTTCTTTGCTTGTGTCATTGAGTAATTTTGGAGTAGTGCAGTGATGATGTATTTTTATAGGCAGACCCAGAATTTAACTATTAGATTTCAGTATATTGCAATAAAGTAAACTTTTTCGCCAAAACAAGTTAATGTTACTGGTCACGTTTAGCAGGATAATCTCGACACATTAACACTACTTTGTGATTTTTGAAGCCTAATGCAATCGTCAGAAATGAAAAGCTAACGTAATACTATAAACAAACTACATCATGTTGGCATGGCTGTACATCACCGCCGCTATGCTAAAGGTAGACTTGTGTCGGCTAATAATGTTAATTGGTTTCATTTTTTCACTTGTTAGCAACCATCGTTTTTATGACACATAGAAGTTTGGACATTCACAAGTGGGATATTTTTGCTGACACATTTGATGTCGTTTAACACAACGGGAACATCTCGTAAGCTTGTGTTGACTAACAGACCATCTTTCATGCTTCTAACAACAAACGCGTTCAAAAAAAACATTGACTCCAAGACAAGGGAACGGGAAGTGACAAAATGTCATTTCTGATTTTTAGGACTCATTACTGAACCAATATTGAGTAGCTGTTGATACAGTCGGATATTATGAATTTGACTTATGGGTACCAACCAAATGTTGTTGTTAGCAATAGTAGACGAAGAACAGTAATAGGTAGCTGCTATAGTTAGCATCCTATCTGACCAAAAGGAGTAAACACCATCGAGACGTCAACTGCCGGGCTCTGCTGCGCAGTTTGTCTTGCAACGTTATATATCATTTTACTTTACTGTCTGTTTTCAACACACAGTTACAGGGACATTCCAATTTCCGGCTGTCAGTGTTGTCTCTGGAAATGCACAAGTAGGGCTAAGAATGAAAAAGTACTCTTTTAGAATCATAAAACTATCCTGTATATATTTTTTTGTTTGTTATTTTTTTCATTAGTGAAAGACTTCTTTTGACTTGTACTGTTGAACTGTCAGTCTGTACTTTGATATGACAAATGTATAATTGATCTGTATATGTTTAAGATATCTTCTTTCTTTCATTTCTTTCAGTTGGCAGGCGAGGCCCAGGAGCTGTTCTCAGTACGCCACGGTCCTGTTCGAGCGGCGCGCATCTTGCCAGCTCCTCATATCAGTGAGTATCTTCAGTACTATACCCTTGCTGGAATATGAAACAACAAACTTTAAAGCACACACTGTTTATTTCAACTCTGATCCGCTTATCTAAATTGATTTGAGTTTGTACAATGCTCAACCTAATATTATTTAGCATGTGTACCACGAGGCTACACATGCTTACAACCTGGTACACATGGTGTTTTAGTTTGTTTTGGTATTTTAACTAATATAATTTAATATGTTTATCACAATAACACCCTTTTCAATTGATATACATAAGATTTGTTCAGATAGGAAGATCGACTGTAATGTAAAGACAGATAGAAACATAAAGAAACCACTAGCAGGTTTCTCTCCAACAAATAATCAGTCTCTGTGCAGCTCTAACCCTAACACTAAACCAAAGGGGAACATCACAGGATTTGGTTTGCATAACTTGCAGGTAAAGAATAAAATAACACAAAGTCTATCTTTTCAAATCTTCAAAAACAAAATACATTTTCAGAAGTACCTGTCTGTACTTTTCAATATGTTTTCTTTAGTCCTTGGAAGAGTATTTTCAAAATACATTTCCAATATCTGTCCCGTATTGGTTAACTTGAATTTCAAGGTCTATTATTAAATGCATTTTTGATGGCACAATCTAATGCAGTTTGGGTTTTTGGGCTTTTAACTGTTGCTATATCATTCAAATTAAACAGTGCTCCACCCTGCTACATCCTAAAGGCAATCAACGCTTAGTGTTGGTCTGTGGCAGCGAGCCTCTGCAGTCAGCTGCAGCTCTCCTGCTGCCAAAGCACACACACACACACACACACACACACACACACACACACACACACACACACACACACACACACACACACACACACACACACAACACACACACACACACACACACACACACACACACACACACACCACACACACACACACACCACACACACACCACACACACACACACACACACACACACACACACACACACACACACACACACACACACACACACACACACTACATTACATAGTACATGATTATTGATCTTGTTGTATTTCTTGAATATAAATAAATATTTGATTTACCAGGTGATGTAGAAAAAGTCATGCCAATAGAATGGGTACAAAACCTGGTCCGGAAAGTAGTATTGTTTAAATGTACACAAATATTGACATGTCTTGCCATCATGAGAAGCCATTGTTGCTTCCCATCAGAAGCAGTCATGTTTTGCAATCTTAACCAAATGTTCAGTAATATTTACCAAATGCAAGAAATGATGCACATCAAGTTGTGTGAAGTTATACATTCAAATCAATTTATATTTCACAACTGCTATATTCAATGTACTTTTTTCCTATAATTTTAAAATACTTAATTGATATTGCATAAATGTTCATATGCTGATAAACAATTGCACGTTTTACTCTTTTTCATTGTTGAACTCTTAAAGGCTAAGGGGCAAATAGTTTAGTGGATCCACTGATTAGATGCATTCCAGACATGAAGTTTACATTTGATCTCTGCAGGTGTCAATCAGTGCCTAGAATGCTGCCTAGAAAGCAGCTCTTTGGTTTGTGCCATTGTTTGTGAGAAAATCGCCTTTCTGTTCTACGTCCTGGTTCCGGTCTTTTGGCAGATTTCAACAACACACAATGGCGGCATTTGAAGAGCACTGGAAGTGGATGAAAGCAAACCACAGTAATCAGAAGCAGCAGATAGCCCCAATACATGAGGGGAGCAATTCTCTCCGCAGAAAATAAATATGAATTGTACGACTGGAGGGAAGGACACTGATTGCAATCTGCTAGGGCGAGAACAGTGGTGCACTGTGGTGAGACATTAAAAGGCCGATTGTCTGCCATGCAAGGCCGTGGGCGGGCGGACTTAGAAATACCCGAAAATAGGTGTTGATTATAATAAGACAAGGTTACCCTTTCCTAGAATAGAGAGGGAAGGAATAGTTTTCCAAAGGGAGTAAATGCGTTTATCCACATCCGCTCCGGAGTTTACGACCTGTGATCTTCTGTTCCTTTGTGAAATGAGGCACAGAACTGTTGTATGTCTTCAAAATAGAGCTACAGTTGGGATGCTCCAACACTATAAAGTAGGGCTGTCAACGTTAATGCGTAAACGCTCGAGGTTAATCTTATTGCGTTAATAAGAAAATTAATCAGATTACCAAATTCGACCGAAACTTGCTCTCACAATTCCAGCGTGAATATTCACCATGGCAATGAAAAGGACAAAACCCCAGAGGAATTGGCACAAGCTACATGTTTGCACTGACTGGAGACCACTGGACTTCAGTTAGCAACATCACTACCTTGGTGTACGGCACATCTAATCCGTGACAAATGTTGTGCACTTGTTCACTTGAGGTGTGGTAAAAAATGGAGGTTAGGATTCTTGCTGAAACAAGAGCTAGCCAGTTTATTGAAGTTGAACATGAGTGCGAGATAGCGAGCAAGATCCCCACTGTGGGAACAGATAGTGCTCGCAATAACGTATCGGTAGCAACAATACAAGAATATGCTCTGTGCACATTATACAGAGGGCGATCACATAGTATGGGCAAAAGTAAGCTAAGATGTTATAATATAGTTTAAAACAATGGTTCCCTTACCAGCTTTTTTATAGCACCACACATGTATTTGTTTGATCTCCTCCCAAAATACATGTTATAATAAATGTTTATCGATTGACAGCAGTTCTAAAAATACTTAAACGTTTAACAATAACCAAGTTGTCTGAAAGGTTTTAATCCATGTTACGGTATTATCTCAACATACAGCACGTCCCTCTGTTGCATTGAAACGTGCAAACGTCTGCATGGAAGTCAGTAGTGCTTGCTTGGATCAAATAAAAGTATCTTTTTCACTAATCCTCTTAAAGGGATATTTATGTTATGGCTCAAAATGTTGACTCTGATGACAGACACATGAAAGAAGGAAGGACCCTGTGTGGAGTGTTAAAGGCTGCTAGGGAAGTCACATTTGCTCTCATGCTACAATACAGGAACTGGGCCTGATTACTGTCAAGCCTGAAATTACAGAACCCCAAAGGCTAACGTCTTCCTCAAACCAAGCGTCCCCATGCCCACAATCCCCTGATCCTCTGTCCGTCTTCATGAATGAGACAATCAGGGAAAATACAGGATCAGCTTAACGCAACATATTTTCTCTAAATGTCTTTGTTTTGTGCCTGCTGGGTTTTACTGTGCTGTAATTCCACCCTGAATCCCCAAAACAAACAAGGATATAGACAAAACATTTGTAATTCCTTCTTTTTTTTTTACCATTCATTGCATTTATCTTCAATTTTTGTAATAGTTTTTCCGTCCTTAGCTCTTTTTGGGGTAAAGTTTCCTTAAAAACCTCACATCAGAACAATGTCAGCAATCCAAAGTCGATACCAACTGTGCTTTCCACTTTTCTTTAAAGGTCACCTATTATGCAAAATCCACTTTTTCATATCTTTTATACATAAACATGTAAAGAGATTCTGAAAGTTTCAGGTGAAAACAATTCGCTCCCTTGTGTAACTATTAGCCAATCACCAACCAAGGTGACACCCGCCACCTTATCACCTGAATCTCCTCCTCGAGCACCATTGTGTTCAGCACTTTGGAAACAGGGCTGAAACAGAGGGGATTATGGGTAATGCTGCAATGATCTGTTTGGTATTTGGAGCCAAACACTTCAGAGACATGTTTGTATGTATCTGAGGCCTATAATATATTGATGAAAAACAGTATAATAGGGGACCTTTAAAGGATAGTGGTCGGCTCACTTGCTTAATATGGCCCAATCTTGGGAAAAATGTCTTCTTTTCTTGAAAATGTTTTGTGACCGTAATTGAATTACAGTGCAACAGTAATGATTTACATATTTCCTGTCATCGAAAGGCTTCCGGCGTTGGTAACACTAGAGGCCTCACTTGTTAGATTAAAGAATGTCCCTCTTTGTTGTTGAGATTATTCAGTTTTTCTCAACCATCTTCCTTTGACTTCTCTTCCTCTTCAGGTCCTCTGAAGATGGACAGTTTTGCTGACAAGAGACCTCTGCTGGGGGTGTGCAAGAGCACGGGTTCCTCTGGGTAAGTTCCAGCATCATAGTAAAAGATGACATCACTACCTTACCCAACAGGGTGTTTTAACTTTACACTTACAATACAACCATTGTAGTCACTGTTGCAGACTCCATCAGCCAAATATGAGTTAAATTATATTCGGCTGGGATAACAATCTCAAATATCTTCATACCACTGCTATACATTATTTTCGCCTAATGGGTCAAATAAACAATTACAATGGCAACATGATTTCCCCAATACATGTAGAAATAATTACATGGCACCTTTTAAAAGGGAGAAGCTTTTCTTTCTTTCATTGTACATGTATAATGACATTAAATTATTCTATTCTATTCTGTTATAAGGATAAAAATGCCTTACGTAATATGTGATGGATAACAATAGTTTCCTATGTTGAGAGAATTCGTTTTTAAGTTGACTTTCTAGCAGCTTCATACGTCGGGCACTAGTAACTGGTTAGGCCCAAATCAAGTTCTCCCCTCACAAAAAGCTAAATGTGCCTTGTTTTTGGGCAGTTCTTGTTTTTCAGTCTATTTTTCTTAAAACAGTTGAGTTTCTAAACCAAACCTCTAGAGCTGAACTAAGTTAGGGATGAATCTCTTTCCCATTGTTCTAATTTATTTATTAGTGCAGTTTTAATTATATTATGTTTTTTTTTAAATACATGCTTACCATATGTTACCCAGGACATGTTTTCTAATGTGATGTGAACATCATTTGACAAATGTTATAAATATATCATGGCCAAGATTTCATATTTTTTACAATCCTCTCCATTTATCACCCATCCAACTTCTTGTTATAAACACTTCATACGCAGCTTAGCCAGTGACGTGGGCTGCTAAGTGATTCATGGATTTGTAATACCCCTATGGTTGGCATGCAAGCAGTACCTGGACACCCGATTGGCAGACAGAAAGGAGATCTAAAGAGGACATATTATTCTTATTATCAGGTTCATATTTGTATTTTGTGTCTCCACTGGGACATGTCTCCATGCTTTAATGTCCAAAAAGCTCTTTATTGTTCTCATACTGCCTGTGCTAAAGCACCTCTTTTCACCCTCTGTCTGAAACCAGAGCCCAGTCTGCTCTGATTGGTTGGATGGCCGCCTCTGTTGTGATTTGTCAAACGCTTAGAGCTGTGTCGGAAAAGTCCCGCCCCTTAGCCTATCATGTTCAATGTGTAGAAGCGCTGGCCAATAGAAGTTTGAGTGTTACATAGTGATGTCATTGTTTAACAGAAGTAAACAAAGTCCAATGGAAGCGATTCAGGTAGAGTGTGGGAGAGAAACTCCCTCTGGAGGGAATACAGGGATTTTAGCCTTTGTAGACCATTTACATGCACACAAACCTATAGAATTCACTACAGTCCCCTAACTCCAGTTGGGATTGGTATTGTCATTTAATTGTTTAATAAAATAAAGTTAATTTAAAAAGCGACAAACTCAAGGTATCTTGTACACTCTTCTCCAGTTTATTCACTACTCTTCCCCATTTCCAAACGCCTGTTTCAGAGAATCAAAACATTTAACTCAATCTGCCCTTCAATTGAAATGAAATGAGGAAGTCTGTCTTAAGCTGTGCGTTGATGGAGACCACCTTCTCGATGTTTTCCAGGGACTACCGCCCCTGTCTGTGTGACCCTGTTGCCGTTGCTTCTGCTTTTCCTATGTCCTCAGTGACACCGAGACAGGCAGCGTTTTAACGGTTTGGCGAATCACCCAGGCGTCGCTTGACACTAATGTTGAAAACATGCACTGTGTTGAAAAGCAGAAACCCTGACCTCCGGCTAAATGGCACATTGTGGTTCTTCTCCCTACAGAAGTGCTTGGTAAATAACACTCTGGTCGAAGACGAAAAGGAAAAAGGCTTCCGGGTGCGGCGCAGTACTTTCCATTGGGCCTGTTCATAAACTTCCTCACACAATTTTTAGCATATAATCATTTTCAAATAACAGCTTTTGTTAACCACTAAAAAGGATGCCGTCTTGACACTTAAATGAAAAACAGATTGAAGCCTTGGCCGCTATAGCCGTGATGGTTAAGAAGTTGGTTCAGTCAGCTCTAGGCTTAGATTACAAGATTTGCAAATTAAAGGAAAACCAGAAAAGGGAAAAAGCATGTGTGTGATGAAGCCCTGAACTTGTGGATTTCCAGCCAGGCACACTCAACATAATTTTATCAATGGAAAGGATTATGCGTTAGGTCCAAACAATGTATGGATCTAGTAATTTTCTTGACAGTAAAGCTACATATGCTTCCCTTTCAGTCCATGCAACAGTGCCAGTGGGCTTTAGGAATTAGTAAAGAATGCTGGTGCCATTGCAAACCTTGGTATGTCTGCTCTCATGTCTGGAAAGGATTTGTGTTTCCTTTCCCTGTTTGATGCTGTTATTATTTGAGTTCTAAAATGAATAAACATCCACAGGTATAAAACTTCTTGGAGACCTATGGTTGCTCAATGAATATACATGTTATGGGCAAGACAAAGGCTACTCAACTGATTGTGGGTGTGAAGCACACACTTCTGGGGCAAAAGTTCAGGGATGAATAAGTATGCTTTGTTCCTACAGAGTTTGGGTACTGTCAGTGACATTTCCAACCTCCAGCTACTCCTTCACAACTTCTCCAGATGCTTAGAGGATGTGGTCCATTATTTTTGACCAATATAGTCCTCTTTCACTGCAGTAGTAGTACTGTAAGTGCAATTTCTTTGGTTCTGGTTATACAGACGGATATTCTGAGCCGATCTCATGGTCACTGTTGATTTCGTAGATACTCTTTTTGTTTTTTCTTCGGAGATTTGGACATTCACTGTGATTGGATTTGTTCCATCACCACCGCCATCCCTGTCTCGTACTCTTTGGCAGGAGTCACGCACTCCACCACATGTAAGGGATCATTTGCAGTCATTATTGAAAAAAGAACACCAACAGGGTGTCTCTTGCGCTGTTCTTGTTTTCTTTTCCTTTTCTTTACTTGGATCAGTCTAGCCATGATGAATCCAATGTTTTGTTCTCTCAACCAATATACAAATACATATTCAAAAAGTATTCCATTGTGCTTTCTGATGGAGGTTTGTCAACAACTGAAGTTAAATTGACCAGACTTTCCTGTGGATTGCTATGACTGCACATAGTCCTTTGATCTGAGCGTCCTTAGCAACGGTCTGCTATTCTTAGCAGCATTCTGCTAGCAAAAAATAGCAGACTGCTTGATTTTCAAATCGACCAATAAGTATCCAGCATTCAGCTAAACCACATACTAATCTTTTTTTAAGGTGCAAGGCTTTAAATTAAGAATCCACCAATAGTATATATGGCCTGTATTGGATACGTATGCACTATAAATCAGTGGGTTACTTACAACATGCAACCAGGCCACCCAAAAAATCGTATGGACAGACAGAGACACTTTTCCTAAGAAATTGACACTGGACATGTCAACACAATGCAATCAAAAAGGATGACCTACCCCAAAGGAAAAATGCCACCTAATAGGGGAACTCCAGACTAGCTTTCCCCAATAGCCTTTCTTCGGAAATTGGCAACTTTACTCCAAACAGTTACGGAAAAGCTCTGATCATCAGGTACCTTCATGATCCAGTACTCCAGGCAGATATATTATTTATGTTCGCTATAATTGTTTATAGTGTAAATTACATGTAAATCAAATATACATGTGCGAAAAAACATCACTTTATCTTTTGGAAAACCTAAATTCCAGCTTAGTCCTGATATGAAATACACAGACTATTAATTACATGGTTGCAAGCAGAAAATGACACACACGCACACGCACACGCACACGCGCACACACACACACACACACACACACACACACACACACACACACACACACACACACACACACACACACACACACACACACACACAAACACTTTTGATGGCTAAAGCCCATTATGGCACTAAGCTCTTTTGTTTCAGTGCATTTTCATGACAGGATGTGTCCGTCTTCTGTTTATTAAATGGAAATCATGAAGCCTTTGTAAAAAAAACGAGCCAGCAGATTAAGGGGATCTGGGGAAGTGATGCTTTTTATCCTCTTCATCCTTTTATCCACTATGATTTTATGATGTTCTTCGCTGTCACATTATGACCACACAATGCACGCAGACACACACACTCATACACACACAAACACACACACAGTCATGTTATCCAAGCCAACTGTGTTTGTAGGGTAGATGCTACCATTTATTTATTGCACACCAACACTTTTTTTAGACTAGCAAAATATTTTTTACTGCACTATTTTGTAATCATTTCAAATAGAAAGTAATGTTCTTTGATTTTAGTGAGAAAATTAATATATGAATATATGAATGAACAGACACAACGTTTTTAATGAAATTGTTCCTGGACTCCATGCTCCTGCATGGAAGTGAGAGTGACTGTAATCTGGCCTTCCACTTCCCCCTTTTTTCATTGCCCCACACATGCACACATGCACACACACTTGTTCAGGGCATAGGCAGAACTTAAAGGCTCAGGCTTCACTCCGGAGCGTTTATTTTCACTTCCATGTCTGTTTAATGTCTGTCGAAAATACGTTCCGCCCTGCCAGTTTTCCCTCTTCAAATCGGAAGTCAGATTAAACTCCGTATTGCTGGAAGCAGTTTATGTAAACACACCTTTCAAGCTGAATGATTAGTAGCGACTTTTCAAACCTTTACCAAAACCCTGTTCCCTAAACTAGGCCTCTGCGGTCAAAGCAATTAATATGTAATTTTAGTTTAAACTTTCCCTTTAAATATATAGAAGTACCCGGGTAGTTTCTTTGAATGATGAAAGATGAAGGAGCATTGACTTGGTGAAGAAACACTGGTGGTTCTTTGAACGGCTAATATTTATCTAGCGTCCAAGAGTAGAAATCCGTCCTAAAATGCCAAAGATCGTTTTAGGTCCTTCTTTTGGGTGCTGGGGTACAAATTAGGAAATCACTTCGAGGAGAGTTCCAGAGTTGACCAAACAGTTTGGAG